AAGTGTGGCCTCTAAAACAGTGGTGGTGCTGCAGTGCAGCAGCTTTACGCACTACATCAAGCTCACTGTCACGCACTTCGGGTGAGGCCCCGCCGATCCAACATCGACGTGCGGCAGACTCGCAGGCTTCCACTTTACCCTTCGGCCTGCGATGCCTGAAAGGCCTCGAAGTGGCACATTTCGAATTTATTTGCGGGTTGGTCGACCCGTGCGGGGTTGCACGAGTGGTGATGTGTGGGCCTGACCGACGCACTCATAAGCAGACACGGAGACTTTATGCAAAACGAACTAGCATTTAATTGAAACAAGGGCAAATGCAGGAGCTAACAAAAATAACAGAGGAAGGAACTGATACGCGATGAGAAAGGCTATAAAACAAACTATGCTCTATAAGAACACTACAAGAGGCACAAACAAAAGACAAATACGTGGAATGTTAACAAGCTAATGACATGAATCAAAGGAGATACAAGAAAAGTTACATGGAAAAGATTATGGTAGCGCTTTTGAATTTTTATGTGCGACGCAGCGCACACAACTACACATATTTAAAAAAAAAGGCTGGTTATAATAAATTAACGATTTAAAAAAAAGTCACAATAAAAGTTCCATACGGACCAGGCCAGCTCTTGGTGCACGTAGGGGAGTTGACAGGTGCCGCTGAAGGTCTCGCCGACTTGGTGGACGACGAGGGTGCCCGGAATTGCAGCCGTCTCAATATGTTGCGCGGGTTACTTCGTGCTTGCCGCCTAGCGAGATTCGCGACACCGACGACCGCACTTGTTGCTGGCTGTACGTCAACTGCCCTTCCGATGCAGTTCAAACCTCCTCAGGGGCGTACATGTGCTCCCATCTCATCTGGGAGTAATTTTCCTTGTTTAGACCGCCGGTGACCCTTCCGGTACAGGGGCAGGGAAGACGAGCCGGCGCCACGCTGGGTCGTTATAGTCGCCAGATGTCGTCTCCCAACACAAAAACGCCCTTCTGTGGAAGGTGGGGCCCGCGGATGCTCCGAAAATTGGAGTCGTTTGTGACACTCACCCATAGCATGATGGTGAAGTTTCAATGACAAGTAAAAAAATATTGAAGGACTATGCTTATATCAAAGAAGTTAAGCGGAGCTTTTCACAAAGGAAGTTCAGTGATTTTTGTAAACAGTGGGAGAGAGTACTCTTATCACCAGTACTATGTAGTTACGGGAAAAACTTTAAGCACAAAACAGCTGCAGTCAATGCAGCAATGAACTTTATCAATATTAAATGTTCTTTCCCTGTATAATTTGCCCATACTGTGCATTCAACAAAAAGGAAGTACGCATACAAGTGTACATACTCTCCACATCATTCCTTGCCAAAAGCCATCATGTCACCAAGTTTCTCAAGAGTCCATGCCAGCCATCCTATCCGTGCACACCGTGATGTTTACATCTCCACAACTGGTTCACTTCTTATTGTTGTGCTCCTCATTCTACTTCAATACTGCCATAATTCATAGCACTCGTTGATGTGGGTTTCCTTCCTTCTTTGTTGGTGCCAGTAGTCGTGCCGGCATTACATGTGAACTGTTGTGTGACCCATCCGCTGGAAGGGCTTCGTATAGTGAATGCGAGACCTGTGTTCATCCGATATTACAAAGAACATTGCGATCTATGTGGTAGCGCAGCTTCAAAGAGCTTGCTGACAACTTGCAGTGAGCTTCAAAATCGGTGTATGTAGAAAAAATGTGCACCAACACAAAGTACTCTATTGCCAGCACTGCTGACATTACTGCCAACTTGCTTGCAGGTGTACCCGTCTGTGAAAAAAGGCACAAAATTTTTTCTTGTCTCGGCCATTAATTATCGTTCACATCATCACACATATGATTTATAATGCTTTCCAAGCAATAAGACGTGAAATCTTTCATGCAGAGAAAGTGCATCAGATCTAATGGACCCCTTGCAGCTTCTGTTCAAAGCTTATAAAATTGCCATGTGACATGTGCGTAAGGGAATGAAGTTTGACAGAGTGAGGTGGGGGCCATGTGAAAAGGTTATTACATTTGCTTTACGCGCCTTGCATGACTTTTCTGAAAAAGACTACAACTACCAGCCTTGCAAACGACAATAAAATTAAGTACTGTAATGACTGCACTTAAAATCGCAGTTGCTGGGATTGAAGCATAAATTGTAGTCGCTTCGCTGGTGTATGACCAACTTCGAGCAAGTAAACTTCTTAAACTCACCTTTATACAGGGCTGGTTTGGCGACATTGCTTTTAGATAAATACTGAGTGAAACAGAAACAAAGAAAATTTTTTTTTAATGTGGCAGATAATTTTGCTCAGAAGAACATTTGCCACACTGATTTCCAAGATTTAGTTAAACTTCGTCATTAATTTTCAAAACTATTCAAATTTTTCGCTTGCTTGTCACGCGTGGTTCCAGTCTTGTATAAGAGAGAGGCCCCATTCCAAGCACGCAGGATGAGTTTCGATATCAGCCTTAACATTTGACAATATCCGGAATTATGCGAGACTTCTGTGAAAGACTATGACATAAGTAAGCACGGACTACAATATTCTAAATTACAAGGTTGCCCTCAAGTCATCAATTAAAAGTTAATTACGAACTATTTAAAATAGTTGCATCATTCATTTTAGATGCCGTAAAATATTTCTACCTCGACATAGATTTCATGGGTGAAAACAACAAGAGCTTGACTGTCAGCACTTTATGAGATTCATTGCCAAGATCAGCGAATCAATGGGCATACTTGAAGTGATGCTCTTGTTAAAGCCGGCAAATTGCCATGCTCCTGTATATAGTACTCTCTAAAGATTGTCGAAAGTCGCACCACCTCTAGGCTGGTCAAACGATCCTTTGATACATTACCTCGACTTAGCAAAAGATGCTGGGAGTGCAAAATGAGTAGTGCCACTCTCCACATCCCACAGGGCCTTAAACCTTTTCATACTTTGAAATGCCTGTGAACTGAAACAACTTCAAAGATCAAAATGTCAAGTTGGTGAGACGTAAGTGAATGTATTGGATGTCTTTTTTAGCAAATATTATGGCTAAGTGCTTATGATGCAGAAAAACATAATGGTGTTGCACACAAATTTCCTTTTGCTGAGAAATACACGGTACACAGGGCCCACAAGAGTGCACTGTTGGTGACAGAAAATAGGTTAAAAAAAACTATTGTCCAGGAAGGGGGGGATGGGGCAAAAACTGCTAATTACAAGTTTGGAAGGTGTAGTAACTACTTATATTCTTTGATAAAACAAGAGCATTACTATGTCTAAAGAAGAAATTTGCATCACAGAGTAATGTACAGCAGTACTGATTAAGGAAATACTTCGGATTAGTAAGCCTGTCATGCTGAGAAACTTAGTGGTGCAGCAAAGGCAACAAAACCATTCAGTGAGAGGGAACAGAGCAGCAAGATAGAACTTGTGTAGCGCGAGAATATGGAAAGAAGCGGTGGGCTAGAAAGCTTTCAGCTGCTTGTACACGAGGACTGTTGATACAAATTGGAAGAAGTGAAGCAATAAATATTAGCACAGAAACAGACCCCAAACCAAAACACATACAGGTTAAGAAAAAGGTTGAAGAAACAGAAAATAATTTGGAAAATAGGCATGCAAATGAAATAAGGACTGAAAACACACAACACGTTCAAGCAGAAGATTGTCACACAATATGATATTTTAAGGAATTGTTCAAGCAGAAAGTTTGGCCCCGTGTTATCGAGGCTAAAGGAAACGACTTCTATCTAGCGCAAAGGGGACAGGGACAAGCACACTAAATATGGGACCTGTGTTTGAAGCCCGGGCAGGATTATTGAGAACCAAGAAATACTGATCCAAGCATGGCCGTCAGCAGAGGGGTGCAAAAGGGGTACTTGCAGCCCCCCCAAGCTACACCAACACCCACAGATCCTGGTACCAAGAGATAGACACAATATGTGGTGCGTGTAGTAGTAAGAGGAGGAAATGGCTGAACAACATGGACTTATCGGTAAAGGCTTCACCATGCAGTTTAAAGCAACAAGGCTGAATTGTTCAGAGCACTAGGGTTTAGGAACTGTGAATGCACCCAAGCGGGCAGAAATAACCAAGACTATCTGACTGTTGTCCAAGACAGGAGTGAAATTTAACCTTCCACCAAGTATAGCATACATACCACAAGTTGCGGCTAGTTGGCGTGAGAAGTCGCCCGATCATAGAGATACTGTATATGCTACCTTTAGGTAGGGTGCATATACGGTAACTCTACCCAATCAAAAGTAGCAGCTTTATCCATCCATCCACGGCTACGCGCATTTGCGCACATAGCCAGTATATGCTCACATTATGCATCTGCCTTCGTTCTTTCTTTTGAGCCGTATTCACGTGCACATATAAATACAAGGCAAGAGCTTGCATGCACTGCAGAAAACGCAAGATTTGTGCACACAGCAGTATCGGTATCAAGTAAAAAAAGTGATGCCGATACATCGTGATTCTGAAGAGTATCCAGGGGAAAAACAGGAAAAAAACCACGTAACTCCTTCTCATTTATTTTTAGTAGCAGACTAATATCTCCCACTACTCATTTCGCTCACTTAAACATGAAAACCCTAAGTACTGTAAAAGCAATACCAAGCCAATCGCCCACATAATTCCGCAGACACCTTAGGCGGAAACATAAAAAAATACAATACATCGTCAAAAACCAACGAAAGAACCTCGGATAAGTGCCAGTACCAGCAATCAGAATGCAGATGCAAGGGAAGCCCATCTGTTAGATCGAACGCTCGCGCACAGAAAACAGCATTTAAGCGAGAGGCTGACTGCCCGCTTAAAACACGTCCGTTCGATGAAAGTAATCTTGCGATATATTTTGTTCAATGGAAGTAATCTTGAGCCAGTAATTTAATTGCCACCTACGACGTTTCACTGCACAAACGGTTCACGTCTTGAAGTTGGCCATGTCAATACTCGAATTTCGAGGAAACGTTGAGAAGCATAAAAACTTACCTATAGCACGCCCTGTTGGGGGCGATTCCATGTCCAGCAGTGCATGGCACGGGGTCGTAGATGTAACCAGAGTCAGCGCTGTTTCAGCACAAAAGGTTGCAATCTCGGTCAGCTGTATTGTCGCTAGCACGTTAGGACTAACGAGAGAAAAACTCCTCTGATTGGCAAGCCGACAGATTATGTAAGAACAAATGCCGATGCCAGAGGCATTAAAGTAAAACACGCTGAGTTGCCGATCACTGGTTCCAAATAAAATGTTAGTGGGCCGAAGAACACCTGCATTGAACGCTGAGAATCGGCTAACGACCTCAAAAGTGAAAGGACAAAACAAAACATTATCGGCGACGGCTTTGACTACACTTATGTTGGCTCATATGTAAGTCTGGCTAAAATCTCGACGAAATGTCGAAAATAAAAGTGAGGGACAATTTCTTACACAAGGTCTCGTCGTTCTCTCCTGAATGCGCGAGCAGTTGAGAAAAGCACAACCTTCAATACACATTTATTGGGTCATTGTTTGGGCCTGGATTTGTACGCCACCTGCGTGAGCCCTTCAATCTCGGTCGGCTGAAGCATTGAAGGACTCTGGCCATACGTTCACAAAGAAGTTCTTGTGAAGTGCTTCCTGCACCCTTCGGAACTTATCACGTCAATGAACTTGACTGCATGAGCATGAAACAAAACTTATGGCATTTACACTCGCCCTCGGAGGAGCGAAGTCACTGTGTGTGATAGTGGTGCGTGGTACTGATGCATATAAGAACAATTGCCTGAAACACGACATGACGAAGCTTTACGAAGCGCATAGAGTGACAAGGCGGTACGCTGCAAGTTGAGAATATACTGACACTTGCTAGTCAAGGAGGCATTCCACAAACGTTGGTCTTTTTTTAGCGACCATCTTACTAAAACGAAACCGAAACTCAATGCAGAGGGAGCTACCAACGCGTTGATTTACGAGCGTATGTGTTTATTTTTACTAAACGTCTTTTTTCCGGAACAAGTGAGTGGAAGCAAGCCTAAGTTGTGAGTAGGCTGAGTGTATTTGCTGCGAGAAATCGTTGCCGTTCGGGTGTTGAACCGTTGCCGGTTTTTCAGTTGCTTAAGCAGCCAAGAAGTCTCCGCCGCTTCGTTCCGTGAGTGCTTGAATTTACAAAATGTTCACATACTGTGCAGAGTGCCTATGTGCCAGGCAGGCCGCTCAGCATAGCGGTCCGCACAACTATCCGTAAAAGGCTACACTGCTAGTTGGTCGTGCGGTCGCGATTCGTAACCTAGCGTTTCTTATTATTAACAACGGGGATAAAAATATAGATATCTTGGCATGCATTTCAGCAGTCAGTCCAGTGTTATCGTGTGAGTCGACATATAAGTTACAATTGTTATCCGCACCGCTAACGGAGTCTTTCGGGCGGGAGCGCCGCTGAGCCTAGGTTGGGGAAGGCTCAGCGGCGCTCGGGGAAGACACGCCTACAAACAGGAAACGTACTCGCGCGCGCGGAGCGTCTTGATCACTGGCCTTTCAGACGCCGTAGTGCTCTCTGTATTTTACGTACCTTACGCTTGTTCAGGCGCACAATTCCGTGAAATCAAAATTTCAAAAGTAGCGTGTAGTCATTTCTCGGCCGCTTTAGTTGGCCAGTTAGTGTTTACGTTGAGATGGAAGACATCTGCTGCGCGAATTTAAATGTACCATTGAAAACTTCATCGTGTGCTTCCTAAACAATCAAAATGATTGTGGGTCGCGAATGTCGCAGCTTGTATGTGTTCGTTTAGCATCCTCGCCGCAACGTTAATCCCTGCAAAGCTTTCGCGCTGTCTATTTCATCCTATGCGTGCGCATGGTTACAAAGCTAGAAATAAGGCACCTCTGCACATATGTGGGAGGTTAACGAAATTTGTAGGTCTACATGATAACCGATCGACTTGGGAGCCTGGGTCACTTGTCATGAACTGCTGAATAAAAACGGTGGTGTAAGAAGCGACTGAATTCAAGGGACTAAACAGTCTCTTAAATTCTAGGGTTCAATTATTTTAAGCGGTCAATCTTATGGGGGTAGCGTTGGAAGATTGTGGAGTTAAAAACGCGGCGCCCGTGATTCGCATATTCGACCCACTGAATGTTTTGGAGTCGCGCGAATGATGGTCTCGCAATCGCTGTATATTGTGTTCTATCGATGAGGTAGTATATTTGTACCCGGTACACGGGAAGTGGTTTCATTCGAGTGACTGAGCTGGCTTCGATACCTGCAATTTCCGCGTGCAAATATGGATCTGTTGAGAAGCACGGTTCTGATGAACTCGTTGGTTTTTTGCCAGTTAAGCGCGGGACCACCGACGTATTGTATATGTCGTTTTATGGAGATCATAATTGTAGTTTTTTCGGGGGGGTGGGGGGGGCTGGTATGCAGGCAGGGCTAATGGGACTATTCTATGCCATTTCTTTTCTTGACTATAGTCTGTGATGCATCTGGCGCCGCGCTCGAATCACAGGCGCCGGCCGCCTGTGGTTGGTAAATGACAAGGAATATAATTAAGCGAGGTGAATTCCGACATTGCACCGGCGCTATCACAGCTAAGTCACTGTAGTACATATATGAAATCAGGCAGCATGGTGAATTCGCTTTCAGTCTGGAACCTAGAGTCTGATTTTTCTATTCTACCGTGCAACCAAGATAAGAGCATATCAGAAACTTTGGAATTTCATCTGTGTCGTCGTTGTACAAATTAACGGCTAAGAAATAAGCAGTGCCGCACTGCAGGTAGTGCGGAATGTCCGAACAGAATGTTTGGGAAAATGTCAATGATCCCAAATGATTAACTGACATGCTGTAGGAAAGCACTTTCGGAACGCCGGCGTTCGCATGCATTGGTTGTTGAGGGATGTCGTTTTCCTCTCTCGCGTTAATATGTTTAGCCGCGATTTTTTTAGCTTGTGTGCGCGCGTTTGTTCTTTGCAAAAAAAAAATTGAAACAGGCCTCTAGGTTGACTAGCATTAGTTTTGCCTATAGGAGACGGTGGAATCGACGTCAGCCGCAGTGCCCGATCATTGTGCGACGTCACACCTGTTGCAAGAACAGCGAACATCTAAAAAAATGGCCTGAGTGGGATTGTTGTATTAATATGTGGCTGTATCTTGCTGTGCTTTAACTGTAGGGGTCTTGTGTGTGTGTGTGTGTGTATATGTATATATATATATATATATATATATATATATATATATAATCATCCCCTCCTTTCCACTTTGGATGGAGGAGAGCGGGTGTTACCCCTTTTTTCCAATAATTTGTGCGTGCATACTGTACGCCCGCCAGCACAAACACGCCGAAACAGCCTAAGGACAGGTGTACAGGACTGCTCATGTGCAATAGCTTTCCCGAAACAACCTAAGAAGGAGGACAGGTGCACAGGACTGCTCATGTGCAATAGCATTCCCGAGACAGCCTAAGAAGGACAGGTGCACAGGACTGCTCATGTGCAATAGCATTCCCGAAACAGCCTAAGAAGGACAGGTGCACAGGACTGCTCATGTGCAATAGCATTCCCGAAACAGCCTAAGAAGGACAGGTGCACAGGACTGCTCATGTGCAATAGCATTCCCGAAACAGCCTAAGAAGGACAGGTGCACAGGACTACTCATGTGAAATAGCATAGAGAACAAAAATGACCATTTCAAAAAAGTGCCCTCACCGAAATCAAGAGTGCTTCCCCCCGAAAAAAAAAAAAAATCTTGCTTTGCCCCTGGCCTTATCGACCCAGCGGTTGACGCTCGCGCGTTCAGGTTTTGAAGATGGGCGAATTTTTTTCACCGCAAACCAACGAATACAAATTAAACAAATAGTAATATTTGTTGAGGTTTAACGTTGCAAAACCACGATATGATTATGAAAGACGCCATAGTGGAGGGGTCCGGAATTTTCGACAAACTTGGCCAGCTTGAACGAGCACTTAAAGGTCAACACCGGTGATTTTTTTTTTTTTTTGACCATGTCAAGGTTACGGGGTTTCTATGTTCCTGAGACACTCTTGGCGGGAGCCCAAATAGCTGAAATGCTCGGAAAATTTGAAAATAATTTTAATAATCAAAAATGTGCAATACTTAAACCCAACCGAGCGCCCTGTCTGCGTATGACGTACTATTTGGTAGAGCCGGATGCCGTATACTGGTTTTGCCGGCGCGGAATATGAAAATTGTGAAAGCCAGTCCAGCGAAGCACCGGCCAAACAGCACAGAGGAAGAAAGAAAGCATTCCCGTACTATACCCGTGCCAAACACTGCCACCGTCACCTTGTGGAAAGCACAATAAACGCTGTAGCGGCCAAGGTAGCGATGCCATCGGCTCCGTCACTTCCGTTGACATGCCAAACATGACGGCACACAGACAGCGTTGCCAATAATTCGGGCAAGTGAGGTGAGCTTTTTGAGGTAATCTCTAAAATTCTTTTGCATGCGATCAGTGCATCACTCAACCCTGTCATTTGGTATAAAGGACGAAAATGTGCAGAGGAAGGTACCCAGCGAATTTCATGGAGATTCATTGACCTCGAAAAATCGCCTTTAAATGCAAGCACACGGGCCTCAAGCATTTTCTCCTCCATCAAAAATGCGGCCAGGATTCGATTTGCGACCTGCAAGTCAGCAGCCGAGCATAGAGAGATATACTATATTAAGAGTGGCCACTATTCGTGGCCCAGCAAGAAAGGGTCTGACCAACCGATAAATGGCGTACATATCCTCGCTTTTACTCCCTTTTCAAGACATCTAATAGCCTCTTCAGGAGGACAGTTGTTGCCCAACTTTGGCATCAATTTTTCGCAAAGAAGAAATTCTATTAACTTGTGCATTTTTTTATATCCGCATTACATTACATGTTCCGCTGAGGACATTTAATGCATCACAACATAAAACAGTAAAGTATGACTAGAAAGTGTTGTCTCACGGCATTTGTTTTGCATAAAGAGGCACACTCATGTGGTTTAGATGTGTTGTACATGCATTCCCTTTGCGCAAGCATGGGTGAGTAGCCTAGTGCAATAAAGAAAGAAAAAAAGGGTGAGTAGCCTAGTAACCCGCTTTCGGAGCATGAGGGCATGGGTTGAAATCCCAGCGTTGGAAAGAAAAAAAAATGTTCTTTTATTTATGCTGAAGACATTATGGGGTCTGACCAACCACTCGTGGCGCTAAAAGCAGCGCAGTAGCAGGGCCGCGGGGCCGTGCGGGAGTGTGCGCTCGTTATGTAGGTATGTTTCTCTATGAGCCGAGTGGCTTAGCCACCGTGGCGGGTCAAATGAAGTGATGCTGGCCGCTAATTCTTTTAGACCCGATCTCACATAAATCTACAAAATGTTGATATAAGAGAATACGCGAACACCAAGCAGAGCGACACCTTTCGCAGAGTCGCTTCGTGATAAGAGCGCAACACGCATACGTGTAAGCCGTCCGCTGCCGAGCAAGCGAGCGCGCCCTTGGAAGCAAAGTTCACAGTTGCTGCTCGAGCGACCCATCTGTCGCCCTCGTTCAACACGGCTAAGGTGCTTCCTCTGTGCTTCGACCACTGGCCTCCCAAGCGGAGTGATGTTATCGCATGAGCCCTCCGAGTGACGGAGATGGGCCGGCTCTTTTGATATCTTCCTCAAGCCGCGTTCGTATCTTCCTCGCGCGCCTTTACCAGCGGGTAGAACGTATAGGGTGCTCGCGGGTATGTTATCAATTCAGACTTTATACGGGACGCGACGGCTACGGCAGAAACTCTTCGAGAGCCCTATAATTATCTTACGCTTTTAATGTCATAATTGCCTTACAATAGCCTTATATTTGCTATCGCAATATTGAGGCTATTTCACAATTAGGCGCAGTGTTTTAAAAGCGCAGCATTGCACAAATGTTGCTTCACAGGGTCTGTATTACGGGGCTTCGTCGTGTCTGAGTGTTCTCTCTGTTACAAACGTGCTCGAAAAGGCTGTTCAGGCTGCTACAAGCCTGCTACAAAAGGCGCTCTTGCCTGCTCCCATGGGACTATTCCAAAACCTATGTACCCTGTTCCACTCCTAAGCATGCAATATTGCTAGGCAGATAGATGCCTGGAATCGCACCATGCACCAAAACATGTGAATTGCGCAATGAGGGGCTTAAGG